TGAGTCGGCAAGTGAGTGACACTTAACAACATATCGTAGTTGGCCAGTGCCGTTACCGGAAAAATAAAAATTTTTCAGGCCCATCGACGCGTAATTGGCTTTATTGGGGTCGTTCAAGCAACAGCAGAAAGCGAGCAGCAAATTGCTTCTCAGCATGTTCCAGACGAAACGCCTAACATAAGACCAGAAAGAAAATATTCGGATACTTTAAGGTTGAAAACAACGGATTTTTCAAGGATCAAGGAGCAATATGATTCGTCGAAAGTAAGTGAACACAAACTATTTTTTCTAGCTAGTTTAAAAATAACTGAACAATTTTCTTAACTTTCTAATAAGTAGAAACTCCTTCTATCCATTACTGTTTCTTACACAGAGAACAATGGAGCAAGGATGCAGTGTTGTTTTTTTTTTTCCGTAACGCATAAGCAACTAAACTCAGTCTGATGAGCGGGATGTAGAACATTATTACTACCACTCGAAGGAATAAAATCCAGTGAACGGGGCATACTATTTAACCCCTGTTGACAAACCGTTAGATTTCGAGTTTTAGTAAGCAGTAGTCGCGCGGACTGCACGACGGCTTAAACAGCCTCCAGGGAGGCCGTGCACATACATCGAACAGGCGGTGGGTACTAACGTTGCGCACAACCTGGCATATCTCGCTCTGCTAAACGCCACATTCCTCTTGTTTGGTGCAGCTTATTTTTTGAACGGACAAGTGAGCTGGTAAAATGCAGCTACATGAATTATAACTCTGATTGTTTTAGGCTGAATATGAAGCAACTGTGGTCGATGCGAGATGTATTGTTATTGGCTATCCTGAAGTTTGTCTTTTTTATACAGCTGGATTTATTTTATTTGATTTCTGTCTTCAATTTTGCTTTTAATTTCTGAATTTTATCCCATTGGCCTTATACAACTCAATTTCATAGCCACCGCAGTGTCAGCATGTACCTGTGTTTTTGATTTCTTTCTAATCTTTCGCGCTCATTTGTCATCCTTCCAGTTCTTTTAGATTGTCTGTGGTAGCTTTGCACTGCTGAATTCCACTTTCCTATTCTCTGCTAGGTTCTGGATCTGTTTGCTCATGCAGTCTCAAGGTGTAACACACAACTTCTAGAGTTCTCATTAAAATACATCTACACCAGCATTGCGGACTCCACGGTGATTTAGAAGTTTCAACAGTCGTGAACTTTTTAATGTTTTTGTATTTTATGCATAATGTTATCAGCACTTTTTTTTTGGCACCACACACATATTTAACTAGTAATAGCAGTAGATGGAGGTATGTGTCTCAGGACTGAAGAGCTTAGTAAGTTGTGCCCGATGTGTGAGCACATCTTAGTAATATCATTAAGATGGATCCTACAGCGATTGCTAGGCAGTAGGCTTAGATTTGAACAAAAAATGAAGCGCAGGAAACTTTACCCTTATTGTTTTCTCTATTTCATTTTCATATGATTTATTAAAAAATGTTTAAAATGCACTTCTTTTTTCAAAAATCAGTTGAATTCGCATAAAAAATTGTGATGCAGTAGTCCTTTACCGTCGTGCCTTTACATTATTTTTATATGAATCCTTTAGAAAACGAAATATTTTTGTTAGGAATCACTGGAAGGGCTGTGGTCTTCTCGAGAATTGTTTTGTTTCAAAAACCTCGACGAAGCTGATGCACTCGAAGTGGGCATACGGGATTTTTTACGTTCCATATATTACGTGTTGGAAAGTCGTCGGCTTGATCTTTCATTTGAAAAGTTGGACTGTCCTCCGTGTCCAGTGATACCGGCTGAACAGAAGTATCGCCAGGGTTTGGAAAACAAGAATAGCAAAATCTACAGGCTAGTTTGATTTTCGCATGTAAAAGATTTTTTCCTCAATAAAGTTACTGAATCGCGTTAAAGTTGGGTTCGTCTATTGTTTACGTTGGCTGGGATGAAAAAATGTAGACGTAGGAAGGAATAATGTGGTGAGCTTAGCCATATCATTGAAACGCAGCTAAAGCGGCGCACTATGTATGGACAGGCAGAACCGTACAATTCAACCATTTTTCGAATGTTTCAACGTTCGGTATCGTTTGGCGCATACGTAGATGAATACCAAAGTTTCCACTGACACGGTCCAAGTTGTTCCATGAGATCCCGGTAGTTACTGCAGCTACTTTCGTACAAATTCTGATAAGTTGTTACGACTACTTTTTCAGATGTTTTAACCTCCTTGAGTTCTCTGTGCCTGCTCGATCGTCGTTGTGAGCAATTCTTATGCAAATTCCACTTCGTTAAAAGTATCGCTCCGAACCACTTATGAAGTTTTTATGCGTTTTTGCTGCGCAGCGCTAGAGCGCTACAAGAGGCAGCAAGAACGCATATTGCAACGTGTGTGTGTGTGTGTGCGTGTGTGTGTGTGTGTGCGTGCATGTGTGTGCGTGTGTGTGTGTGTTCGTTTGTCCGGGTGTTTCAACTCGCCAACCACGCAAGCTTTGTAGCTGAAATTTCGCCAGTGTGTCCCCTAGCCAAGTGCCACCCCAGGACCGCGGTATCAACTCTCGAGCACGTCTGGACCCCGTGTTCGAGCACGTGAAAGTTTTGGCGGGAAAATTGCTAACTCGGAAACGAGAAAAGCTAGAAAGCTGAGACCTTAGGGTAATGTTCCCTACCCGTGTATGACAAAAAGGTTTCAAATTCGGCTACTGAGGACTACTCGAGGCTTACGTACGGGCACGTGGAAATTATGGCGGGAAAATTCATAATTCGGGAATGAGAAAAGTTAGAAAGTTTAAACTTTGGGGGAATGTTCCCTACTCATGCACGACTAAAAGTTTTCAAACTCAGCTCCTTAAGACAGTTCAGGGCTCAAGTACGGGCGCATGAAAATTTTTGGTGCGAAAATTACCTGGGAACGGGAAAAGCTAGAAAGCTGAAACTTCAGGGGAATGTTCTCTACCCATGCACAACCGAAATCAGGTGTTTAGAAGCACCCGGGATCCACGTACGAGCACGTGGAAATTTTGCGGACTCCACGGTGATTTAGAAATTTCAACAGTCGTGAACTTATTAATCCGGGAACGATAAAAGCTAGAAAGCTTAAACTTTATGGTAATGTTCCATACTCATGTGTGACCAAAAGATTTCAAATTCAGCTCCTTAAAACCGTCCGGTACTCACGCACGAACATATGAAAATTTTGGTGGGGAAACCGCTAACTCTGGAAAGGGGAAAGCTGAAGGCTTTAATTTTAAGGGAATGCCAAATTTAACTCTTCTAGTGCGGCCTTTTTCGCGG